TAATAAAAAAATATAATTATAAATATTGAATTAATATGAATTTTTTAGACTATCGTCATGGGCCCTACGGAGCTCAATGGCACCCCTCCAGCCAAACAGTAGAATTGAGAGTCCAGTCCGATTTTCAAAATATAATAGTTCTATATATATATATATATATATACTAAAATATGAATAATTGCATCGAATGGGATTTATTAGATTACTAGATTGGATATTGGAGATTCAGAGTATTTGAATAAAATTCGGATCAAATTCATTTTAAATCCTGTTTTAGAACAGAAATATGTAAAAATAAAGAAGAACAAGATCAGGTTCTTGGATTCTTTCTTTTGGGCATTCCTCCTCCTTACTTTTTAGTATGTAATATAACAAATTCAAACTTAATTATTCAGAAATTATCTAGATTTATGATCTTGTTATTCAAATTTATTTTACACATGAACCCCACTACACAAATTTAATTTCAACCACACATCATCATTCGGGATAAATAAGAGTGGATTCATAGATTTATTCTTTTATTACGTATTGTTTTGTCCTTTTAAGCATATCCGAGATTTATAGATGGAAAAGAAAATGGTAAAGACATATAACACAATAATAATAATATACTTCGGTTTCAACATTAAATTTGACAGGTAATTATTTGAAATATTTCAATTTTAATTCTATAAGGATCATAATAAAATACTTCTCTTGTATGATTAATTTATCTTTATTTTAGTTTTTTTAGATTAACTTAAATTTTGTCAGATGTTTTCCTTTAAATTTCATCCCTTGTGACATAACTCTAGATTGTTCTTCTTCTTCTTCTTCTTCTTCTTCTTTTTATTATTTATTTTTTTTCTTTTTCCTTTGTTAAATTAAAAAAAGAAAAAGAAAGAAACCCTTTTTTTCTTTTTCAAATTTAAAAAAGAAAGTAGCAGAAAGCTACATGCCTACAAGAAAGGCATCAAAGAAGGCATCCAAAGCAAGAACAGAACTCGGGGCTGCAGGGAGTTCCAAACTTGGGGTTAGATTAGATTCTTCAGTCCCTTAATGTTGGAGCAATTATTGCATCGGTAGTATTACATACATCAATTAATGTACTATCTAATACATATAGTATTATTCTTATTGCATACGCAAGAGGATATTAAAGCCCCTTTGAAGACTTGAGTTTTTAGTTAAAAGGTTAAAAGTTATTATAAATTGTTATATTATTTTTAAATTTTTTTTTTACATGTCTTTTTATAAAAAATTAAAAAATTAATTAAAATAATCAATTATCAAACGGAGCCTAAGATTGTTTGGTGGAGTTTATAGAGTTTCTTATAGTTTTTTGTTTTATTTAAAAAAATTTCACTAGTGTTTTGTGTTATTTATATTAATAATTTATAAGAAGAATAATTTAAATAAATTGATTATTGAAAAGTAGAGGAAGAAATGTTTTTATTTTTATTTTTTTATTATCAACTTTCAATTTTTTAGAAGTTATACCAAATAGGCTTATATGGTGGTATTCTCTTTCATTGTGAATGGCTTAAATTAAGAAAAATGAGTGGGAGTACTAATTGGTGATGTGGCAATAGGTCCCACCTATTGTTGTTGTGTCTGTTTTTTTTTTGGAAAAAAAAAAAATGAATGCCACATTATTAGTAGTTACTTTAAAGCACTACTTTTAGTGGTCTCTATCATTGCAAAAAGATATGTGGATTTATTAACTTCCCTTGAATTTTTTATGCGACTCCAAAGGTATGTGAACAAGAAGATGAGAATCATCCGCCGATTATTGTATTGGAGGCCCTCCTCCATTACCAAGTTTTCCTTATTTTAAGACTACTATAAGTAAAGTAGGTTGGACATGTTGATCACGATTCATTTAAGCTATAATAGATTTAAAAATGTAGATCACCGGACACCACAAATGTTATCATCTTGAATTTAATATAATTCTTGCATTAAATATCTTGCTTTCCATTTAATTGAAATATATAAAATATACTGGGGAAGAAAGTTGGGTTTACTTTTTTTGTGTTTTTCAGATTGCTGAACAACTCTGTTATACCTTTTTCTGCTTTCTTTTTCAAAACAAATAAGAATGTGATCCATGCTGTTTAAATTACTTGATTTTCGAATCACAGTTACGTTGGGTGGTGAAATTGTTTTGATCTACTTAATTAAACAATAATTGACCAACTTGGGTTCAACTTGATCTTACCCGGGTTAAATTTGCAACCATCCATGGCAACCTCAATCATGACCTTGGGAAATATATTATAAGACCCACTGGTGATATTTTAATCTGTTTTGGAATATATATCACATAAAAAATGGAGAATTTTTTACAAATGAAAAATAATAATAAAAATTATAAATTATAAAGTGCAATTAAAATATCAGCTCACTACAAATGAATGAGAATCATGTAAAAATAATACAGTTATCCCTTGCCCTTGATGACAGCTTATTTCATGATTGCTAGGGCTCATGAAAAGTCACAGAAAATTCTTTATTTTTTGAAATTTCTCCGTGATAATTTCTCTGAATTTCTCTTTGATTATATAAGAGAAGTTTTTCAATCACTATGAATTTTCTCTATGAAGAATTAAAATTTATCTGTATTGAAATTTCTCTATATTGAAATTTCTTTGTGAAAATTGAAATTTATTTGTGTTGGACAAAAATTTCTCTAAGTCAATGTTAAGGGTTCTAAACTATTATGAAAATATTATATATCATTTATCTTATAAAATCTTAATATCAAGACCTTAAAATTTTTCTCCCTAAGTATAATTATTATTTATCAATTTAACAGAATGGTCCATTTATTAAAAGACTAAAAAGTATCTTTCTACAACTAGACAAAATCATTTTAGTGAATCAAATTCTCAACCCCTTACAATTGTTCAAATGGTCATAGAAAGGGCACTGTAGTCAAGGTGAGTGAGATTTAAAGTTTGAATCTATAAAGAGATATTGAATTGCATTGTAATCTAATTATTACTATTGTTTGTTGGTGAAAACAACGAGAATTGAACTCTTTTAATACAAAGAATGAGGAATTACAACTTAGTTTACTTTTAAAAAATAATTACAAATATATTGAAAATCTTATTATTTTAATTATTAATATTGATAAGATTTACCACTATTCTATAATTATATTTTTAAAAATATACTCATATATGTAATTTTCTCAAAATTCGAAAAATGGGGAAGAGGATCAATTTGGATAAGCTAAATGAAAGGGATGAATCAAACATAGTCTTGGTTGGACATGTGGGTTAGGATGGATTGAGACTAGGCGGTTTGAGATGTTCTAAATAAGGGTATATTTTGATTTTTTATAAAAAGGATGCATAGAAAAATAGAGAGAATATGTTAATTGATGTGACTTAAAAAAGATAAAAAGACAGACTTATTTAGTCCATGCCAAACAACCCAAGACAAAATAGACTTTTTAGTTTTAAGTTAAAAGTTATCACATTCAAATCATAATTATTTTATTTTTTCTTTCATAAAAATTTAAATAATTAAAATATTCATCTCAAACGGAACTATTTTAACTCCAAACTAAAATAATTAAAAAACTAAAAAATTAACTCATATCTCAAACAAAACGCGAGCATAGAAAATTGGTCCTGGAAGAAGAGCCGCCAAATTCTATCACAACCGTGTTGGTGGGTGGCCAACATGCTGGTATGGTGTTGGTCACAGCAGGTATTCATTCTTCTCTTGTGTTTTTTTTTTTTTCTACTTTTTCAACTTCTTGTCTATTTTTCCTATTTTTATGAAATGTCGAAAAAAAAAAATAAATAAATAAAGAAAAAGATGGGCAGCTTTTAACTTTATTCAACAGTTTTGTAATTTGAATTGAAAAGTCATTATTTATTTATATTTTACACTGGTGGTCTTTTTTAACTCTGCTAATGACAAGTAAAGGTGTGAAAGAAGAGAAAAACATTGTCAAAACAATTTTTAAAAAAATCCTATTAATATCAACACCCACAAATGGACACAAGAGAAACGTGTCCAAAATCCTCTTCATTACATTAATAATGTAGTTACAGAGATTTTAATACAAATTAACCTCCTAGATTTTTTTGTTGAAAATTTATTTCCTACTCCAAACATTTTCTTTTGTTAAAAAAAAAAAAAATAGTGATATTGCATAATTTAAATTTTTTAATTACCTACAAATTAATTTTCAAAATTAGAGTTTTCCGTCCCTCAAAAAGTAAAGAGAAAAACAGTACCTCCAGTCTAGTAAGCAGTCTAGTAATTGGATTGGAGGCAGCTCCAATTGAGGGCCTTGAGGGCTCGCTTTGGGTTTGAATTGAAAAGTCATTATTTATTTATATTTTACACTGGTGGTCTTTTTTAACTCTGCTAATGACAAGTAAAGGTGTGAAAGAAGAGAAAAACATTGTCAAAACAATTTTTTCAAAAAAATCCTATTAATATCAACATCCACAAATGGACACAAGAGAAGCGTGTCCAAAATCCTCTTCATTACATTAATAATGTAGTTACAGAGATTTTAATAGAAATTAACCTCCTAGATTTTTTTGTTGAAAATTTATTTCCTACTCCAAACATTTTCTTTTGTTAAAAAAAAAAATAGTGATATTGCATAATTTAAATTTTTTAATTACCTACAAATTAATTTTCAAAATTAGAGTTTTCCGTCCCCCAAAAAATAAAGAGAAAAACAGTAAGACTTTCCTCCAGTCTAGTAAGCAGTCTAGTAATCGAATTGGAGGCAGCTCCAATTGAGGGCCTTGAGGGCTCGCTTTGGGTTATCTCAACAATTTAAATTGTTTATTTTATAATACTAGTCAAGTAGATTGTACATGTGAATAATTATATTGATTGAATATTAGTAACTTCGTAATTAGATCGCATTAATGAGCATAAAGTATAATTTCAAAAATAGATTGCGTATTTTTTAAAAGAAAAAGTGATTTAAAAATGTGACTTTTGATATATAATTAATCATATGTTTTGTGCAAATAATTTACTTAAAGAGACGGTAAAAACTAAACAATTCAAATCATTAAAATAGAGCTAATGTAAACCCACAAAGCCTCAACTAGGCCCACTAATCCAAAGCCTAGTCCAAAAGAAAAATAAGTGGTGTCATAGGTGCAATAATAATGTACCATTACAGCCGGACAATGGAATCATCATCAATTTGCTGAATTCACCCTTGCAACCACTACCGAAAACCCACCGGACTCCCTTGACTAAAACCCATTCCTAATGTCCCTCGCCAGATCCTTTGCGAAAAGTCGCAATTGAACAGAACATGTTCTAAATCCTCCTCTGCCAAATGACACTTTTTTTAGTACCCATCGAACAGGAAGAATGTCATGGAGACATTTCCAAAGAAAAAAGGTCCATTTAGTAGGGATATTAAACTTCCACAGAGATTGGTTTTGTTGAGATGGTGTCATGTGGGGAAATTTACATTCCAACGCCCGCAAGTAGCCCGACTTAACAGAATATTCCCTGTTCTTAGTATATGCCCGAACTAATTTGTCCTCACAAGGATGTTGAGGAATATGAAAGAAAGATCGAATTAATTAACAGATTATTGAGAATCAATAAAATCAGAGAGTTTTAAAGAAACCCCTTTCCTCTTAACAGATTATTAACAGCCGGAATGCACTGATCCTCTAGAGGATTATTAAGAGATCCATCACTAACCCTCCATTGAACCCCAGAATAGATAAAATCACGCCCCCAAATAATACTCCGCCAACCCCATGAAGAGTTTGCTCTAAGTTTCATATTTGATGATCAAGCTTCATCTATTGATCAAACAATTCATCTTTATGATGAAATTATCCAGATTGCATCATCTCATCTCATCATGGTGTCAACCCATTGCAAAATTCCATTACCCACAACAATGATTTAAATGGCACTCATTATTTTGTTAAGTAACCATCTCACTGATTTGTTTGAATCTCAGGTATAGACTTTTGTGGTGGTTTTGATCAATTTGCTTAATGTTGTGTTTGGTTAGGGGATTTGGAGAGGAAAATGAAAAAAGGTAGGTGAAATGTGAATAAAACATGCCTATATTTCACCTAGTTTCACACACATTTTCCCTTTTCCTTTCCAAATCCCTCCCCAAATCCCCCAATCAAACACAACATAAGAAGGTGGCACCGGATTGGTAACTCGAATCCACTATTAATGATATTACTAACTTCTTAAAATGTTTTGATTATGTTTGTCTCTATAAGACTTCTAGAGCGGTTGTCAAGCTACTACCCCATGATTTGGTACGATCTGTATGTTCTGCTAGTTCTTATTAATATAGTAATGATTTTATTCTGCTCAAAAATAAATAAATAAAATAATGTACCACCACATCTGATGTTCTTGTTGTTATGTTTTCATAAATTAAAATACAAAAAGTTGGTGGAATAATGATCCAAAAATGGTGGAGAGGAACAAATGAAATGAAAATATTTGAGACTCACAAAAGGCTCTTACAATTTAACTCACATTGAAGTAGTACGATAAATGTCAACTTTTAATTAGTTACACACCTAATGATAAAAGGTCTATCTTCCTTAATGATAAAAGGTCTATCTTCCTTGCCACATCGTTGTAGATGAATTTGTGGGTCTAAAATGTGAATTTCTAACATTACTTTAAGTGAAAATTGAGATTTTTTTTGTTATATTCACTTTCCCATATTTTGTGCCTTCACATAAACAAGGGCAACAGAGAGAATCTTTGTTAGTTTCTTAAATCAAATACAAGCTACGCGTTCTAATTTTCTATTATTTTAACCATAATAAGGTTGAAAAAAAAAAAAAGGAAAAAGAAAATTAGTAATAAAATCCCTTACTAGTTGGCAAGATCATCTACATAACAAAATCATATATTAATGTTGTGTTTGGTTGGGGGATTTGGAGAGGGATTTGAAAAGGAAAAGAGAAAATGTGTGTGAAACTAAGTGAAACATATGTATGTTTTATTCACATTTCACCTATCTTTTTCATTTTCCTTTCCAAATCCCTCCTCAAATTCCCCAACCAAACACAGCATAAGATGATTTTTTAACCACTAGTTTGTATTTTCAACATAAAATACTTTCAGTGATTAAACAGAACACACGTTACGTAAAAATAAAAAATAAAAAGTGCTTGAAATTTGAAATGTGTGGTGCATGCACGTCGGCCACCCAAAATAATTTTCATCCACACATTTCAAATATTGAGTACTTTTCTGGATATTTTTCTCATTAAACAGAACCCGTTGCAAAATGCGCTACTGTAAATGGATGAATATACTCCACCTACTACACCTACCACCAAACCTACCATCACCAACTCCACCTACTACACCTACCACCACCTACTCCACTACACCTACATCTCCTATATAAGGAACCCCTCACCATTTGTAATATAAAACATACATCAATCAATAATACATCAATTTATTTTACATGGTATCAGAGCAGGTTTAGAACCTAATATTTTCGCTTCACCGGCGGACGGCAACCTCACCTTAGTCGTCCGCCGGACCTCAACCTAGTCCGCTAGAATTTTCTACACATACCTTCATCATCATCTTCATCCAGCCCATCCTGAATATGTTTAACTGGTGGTTTTGGTTTGACAGCAACAATCAGCGAATCTTCATTATTCAATTCGACGAATTCATCTAAACCATTTTTGTTGTCATGCAACACATTCCCTTGCAAAATAAGCCTCAAATTCTCAATAGGTAAATGAGCCTTCCCAGCAATCAATCTTCTCAGATCCTGCACTTTGATGAGAGAGGGGACATTGAGGAGGAGAAGGACCGATGGTTTTGAGAGAGATTTGAACCATTGTCTTGTCTTCTCCATTGCCGCCATGATTCTTCTCGATCTCAACCATGGCGTCGTGGCTTGAAGATCTTTCAGCTACACAGATTTTCCAGCAATGGCGTTCCAACTTCCTCAAGTCGGATCTGACTCAGCCCAGCAAATCAAGCTTCCACACCTTCACCGAGCTCCCGTCGTGAGCCAACACGCCTTCCGACAAACTCAGATGGACGATCGGAGCCGGGCCACGTGTCTCGTCATCCTCGTCTTCGCAGAGAAGAGCTATGCTTTCAAGATCAACCCGACCGTCGTCCTCGTCATGAGCCTCTGCTTCATCGGCTTCGACACTTGCTCTCTTCTCTTCCTCTCTCTAGCTAGGTCTCTCACGAGATACACCCATCACCTCTCCCTCTCGGCATACACACACATATGCATGGCAGCTCTCTCCCTCTCGGCAACTCTCTCTTCCGGAAAACACACAGACAACCTCACCACCCACAATTCATCAACCTCTCTCTCTCTATAGCTCTCTTTCGGGTTAGAGCACACAGCAGCACACACACGCAGAGGGAGGATCACACAGGGGGACACAACACACACTGTCACTCTCTCTCTCTACTCAAGGCTACCCACCACTATGTCCCCTTTTCAACCCATCATCCCCACCTTTTGCACACACCCATACTCCTTTTTTATTTTTAAACCAATCTTCACCTTTTTCTTTTCATCCACTTTACTTTTTCCACCACCACACACTACCAGCGCACATGCTTTCCTTTCATATATTATTATTATTATTATTATTATTATTAAAAAAAAAAAAAAAACAAACACCAAACTCATTTTATTCATGTCGGGGCTCACCCCGATCACCATTTTACACCACACACAAAAAAAAAAAAAAAAAAAAAACAAACCACAGTGGGATTTTTCTTCAACAAAAAAACCAAACCAAACAACCACACCCACAGTGGAATTTTTCTCTCTACTCTGCTGCGGGTCTCTTCTTCTTGCTTTTCTCTTGGGTGTTCCATGACTGCCCTGCCTCCGTGTTTTCCACGCCGCCGAGCACGTTCACTCCCCCATACTCCTCCATTGCAGCATATGGCGGACCTTCAAATCGGAACATCACGGTAGCCTTCCGCTTTAGCTCCTTGTTTTCCGCCTTTAGCACACTTATCTCTGCTCGCGCATCCTTATACATGCGTTGGAGCAGAGCCAGTTGGGCGTTTAACTGCTGCACCTCATTTGTCCTACTCTGCAACCGGTGCGACAAGTTTGTGACCGCCGTCATGGTCTCCACACATGACTTCAAAGTATACTGATTGGCCTCAATATCAGTTTGCACTGCCATTTTTTGCTCCACAGACCGCAACGGAAAGTTCAACGGAGCAAAACTAGAAGTGTTTGGTTGAGGTTCACGGGCCACCGCACCAGTTATCTCTCTTGTTGACTCGTTGAGGTCGGGAAAGAGAGTGAGCAGACCACGGGAAGAAGAGGCCATTTTCTGGGCGACAGAGTGTTACAGAATATCTCTCTCAGCAAAACGAAGAGTTTTTCAGAGGTTTTTCGCAGGTTTTTGCCTCAGCCTCAGCCTCCGTCTTGGTTAAATAGCCGAGGCAGACACGCGCATCGCGCGCCACTTGACGCCAGACGACAACACGGGCGCGCAAGCCAAGGTAGTCACGCGCCTCGCCATCATGTCCGGCACACCTTTTTATGGATTGGGCACGCCTTTTGATGGCACGCCTTTTGCAAGATTGGGCACACCTTTTGAGGGTGCGACTTTTCCCAACGGTCCGACATGACCCCATAAATTGTCCCGACATTGATTCCGGTTAGCTTCTCCATCGGTCCGGTGTGACCTCGTCAACTGTCCAGACTTTATCTGCTACAACGGTCTGACACAACCATCCAGTGTCCTCTACAACGTTATGACACACCCATCCAGTGTCCTCTACACTGTTATGACACACCCATCCAGTGTCCTCTACAACGTTATGACACAACATTCCAGTGTCTCCTATCCTGTTTTATTTTCTGTCTTAGTCTATTTTCTTATTTTGTTACTCTCTCCAAACTCAAGTTGGTTAGTTCCTATCCCCCTTGAGTTTGTGGGGGGCTGTTAAAACCTATCTCCTACTCCACCTACTACACCTACCACCAAACCTACCATCACCTATTTCACCTACTACACCTACCACCACCTACTCCACTACACCTACATCTCCTATATAAGGAGCCCCTCACCATTTGTAATATAAAACATACATCAATCAATAATACATCAATTTATTTTACAAGAATTACATACGCTGCGGTGCACCTTCGCATGAACAGCATCACTAGAACGCTTGGCCGAAAATGTGTATCATTATGTGAAAAAATAATTACTGAACTATATAGCTAACAACAGATAAATCAACTATACAAGAGCTCTTTCTTGCAAGATTCTTAATTTGCATTTATGCAAGCTAGAACTCAAAACCTATTGTTGCTTAGTGAAGCATGAGATTGAAAAACAAAACGCATATAGCTTAGCTTCTAAAAGCCAAACCTTTTTCTCTCTTCGAATTTTGATTTCAAATAATCTTCAGTCGGGATCTTCCCACCACTTCTCATCATTGCGCACCACCATGCCATAAGCTCATCCTGTGAAATGCGAAACGCGAAGGTACGTAGACATTAGTACAAAATAGAGTAGGAAAATTTGTTACTCAAAATATTTTGGTCTGTGGAGGTGGGCATTATAAATGTTAGCTAACGATTCAACGTTCTAGTATATCAAGTTAACAACCAACTGCTCAAAGAACTTAAGCCATTTAAAATATAAACTGACCTCATGAAAATCTTGATTGGAGATATATTGACTTTCAACCAAGCATCTTATACCTCCAACTTTTACAGAGATAGCTTTTTTGGAACCTTGTGGTGGGTTTTCTCTTTGTTCCCCTGTTACTTCCAAAAAACAAGAAAATAAGGAATAAATGTAAATGAGGCAGAATTCAACTTTGGCCATTAACGAAACACAACAAATTTGATCCCCCATTCATAAGAAATTATGTCATTATGTTCAGAAAAAATGAAAAAAATAAAAAATTTCTTACATAACAAGCACAAAACCGTTGTGAATAACATAAGCCATACCGGTTATGCAAGCCACATAGTAGCCTGTTCCTCCTAAACCTTCTTCCCACTTCCCAAGCCGCAAGCGTAGGAAAAAACCATTGAGATCCAATAGTGAAGTATTGGAATTCATCCATCTGATAGTGGATCAATTACAGATAAATAAAATGGAAACAGAATAGTGAGCAATTAATTACAATCTAAACCAGCAAGTACGTAAGAGCCACCAACTAAAAGAACTGCCCTGTCAAGTGCATCTTGCAATGAGTTACGAATATTTTTTGTATCAGTTGTGCTACTCTCTCCAACACTTATACTTGCACTGAATGTGAGAGAGGAGGGTACATGTGTGGGTTCCAGACCCCCACTCTCACATTTGGTGCAAAGTGCTAGAATCTTTTCTCTGTTTGTGTTCCTTTATCACAGGTTTAAAGCTCACAAATGCAAAAGTTCATTTATTTTTAAATTTGAGTTCTTTTCTAGGCAATCATAAAAGAGTCGATAAAATTAAATCCACGGGGTTGGTGTTTTGACTAACCAAACCAAACCAAGTCTTAAGTCCCATGGGGTCAGCTAGTTGGTGTTTTGACTACTACACAAATTTTGCTGATTGGTTCAACAAATGCTTTATGGAATGATTAGTCCAGTCAAAGGATCACATATAAAAATGTGCCGTTAGGCTGGATATGTATTACTCACTTGAGAATATCCATACGAGACAAACGAAGCATCCTTATAGCATCAAACACTCCCTTTGGTATATCTGAAAACTTTGTATCAACCAAATTGCACAAAGAAGCAACCCGCTTTTCTTCTAATACATTATCCCCAGAACATGAAGCTATATTCTTATCAATAGCAACTCGAGAGTTTTTCCCATCACAACTAGTATGCATGGCAACAATTTGAGAATGGCTTTGTTTAGTTTCCAGCATCCCGGGGTATCTTTCATTGCCTTTCATAAGCTGCATTTTACTAGCACTGAAATGAATACCCAAATCAGCATCACATTCTGATTGATGTTGCTTAGTCATGGATGCCATGGGACATGAAATAGCCCAATGATCTAGCTTAAAACATTTAATGCACAAACAAGGAGAGTCGTCCGCTCCATCAGATGAACTAATATTTCTAATAAGATTCTCCCGCTCAGTTTCTGTTATCTCAGAGCAAACACGTAAATCGTGGCCACTTTTACCACAGTAGAAACAGGTTGTCATTGTATGAGTTGTATTGTCTTTAACATCCACCGGTAAGATGTGTTTGAGTGCATCCAATCTCCTTGCAAACACAGAGGCCATTGCCTCCGAATTCTTTTGTTTCGGGGAAGGTAGGATAGGATTCAATTTATAAATGGACTTTTGATCATTATGTCCACGGATCGTATTGAAACCAAAGGAATCCTCGCTACTGGGAGCACAACTTTGCAGTTTTTTACCCGTGACATTAACATGTTCTTCAGTTGAGTTCTCCTTGGCCTCTGAACTTTTCTGGTCAACGGGAAAATCAACATGATTGAGAGTATGAGAAAAAAGCTTTGTGTAATCACTAGAACATGCAAGTGCTCCGCTTGTATTCTGGTTGCAATGGTCTAAATTTAACGTAGGCACAGGAGTTTTTGCGCAAAATCGAGTAATCCACAAGCTTCCAAGAGGATCACATCTGTAACCAACATTATTAATCACTTTCACTTTGGGTGGAGGGTTGGAATCATTGTTCTCTGCACTGTCAGATTTGCGTTTACCCAAAGAGGAGCTGGATGAGTTTTTTCCATCCTTCACATTAATACATGCCAAATCATCTGAAGTTTTATTCTGATAAGAACAAGAACTAGTCTTGCGCATTTCTGGTGCAGCAGCAATATTTGCAGGCGAAGTCATGGGCTTGACAGACGGGCCTGCTCTATTTTCAGATGTAGACTGGTTAAACTTCTCATCTGATAGAGAAAAATGTTTGCGAAAGTTATCATTCACACCATGGCAAGCAATCGGAGAAACATTGACACCAGACATTTGGTTAGCCAGTACAAGTTCTTTAGAACCTCCCATTAGAGAATTACCATCCGATTTTTTCGTTTTCTGTTCCATTGAATTCGAACAATACAGAGACTGAAACATAGTTTGGAACCCCATATTTCTGCTCCCAGGATCTTGGTTTCTGCTAAATGTGACGATTTTCTGATCATGAGTAGGATGGGCCAGGGTGAGAGCAAGAGAAGGTGAATCATCTTGATTGGTTTTGTTTAAGCCTTTCACCATGTTTGAAATCCAATTCATGAAAGAGCTATCATGTCCAACAAAGGATGTCGAAACAGGACTTTCTTGGATTTGGTTTTTCACCGTTTTACTCTCCACAATCGATTGCTGTGCAAAGCGCTTCTTCCCTATAGAAAATAACCCGGCACTGTTACAACTTTCAACACTCTCGTGGCTGTCATCCTCATCGTTTTTCGGCATTCTTTCATTAACATCTCCAGCTGACAAAGCCTTTGCTTTGCCCTTCCTTCTGTACAGACGGGTTCTGCTGTTAGTTGGAGAAGCTTCAGATGGAACAGATTTATCATCTTCACCAATCCAAAGCTGTAAATCATTTTCGGCACTGAACTCCAGCTTTTCCAGAGGCAGCACACTGGTAGAACCATCCATCTTCATTTTATTTTTGCTATCTTCTTCAATAACTATTGCAAGAGCTTTGTGTCTTCCGCTTGGGGAAGTCATATTTTGCACTGGACTATTGAGTCCCTTGCACTGTTTCATGCTATGAACTTCAGAGGTCAAAGCAACTTCTAAGCCCAAAGTCAGACTGTCACTAGCAATATCACCAAGTCTATCACTAGGATTGGCCATCATCACTTCATTGTGTTCGCGCCCATTGGTTCTGAGTGATAGAAAATCTGTTGTCTTCTGATTTTCTCGACCTGCAGTAGGTGCAACACTCAGATAAGATGTCATTTTTTAAGGAAATGATAACTCCAGTTGCTTCAACATGAGATAAATTCTAAAGTTTCACATCAAGGAAAGGACGATAACAGAACTAAAAAAATGGCATGAGCATGTTCCATGTTTCTTGCCCGAAGCAGAACAGAATGGCTCATGGATATTCAATTGCTTATCTATAGAAGATAAATTCATCTCTCTTTAAAGCACTTCATATTTGTTCTAAATAAATTAACATCACTTTTTAGCCAAAAAGTCACTAAAAAAACCAAAAAGCCAACAACCTGTACCAAAAAGTCAAAAATTTCATTCTCTACTTTTTACACATCTTTTTGTAAAAAACCAAGTCGTCATCTCAAACATACTAGTTTTTTTTTATATCATATTTTAGTTAAAAAGCCAAAAAAGTTACTAAAAAGCCAATTCCCAAACGAGGCCTAAATATACACAAAAGGAGTCTGGAAAACTTGTATAACTTGATTTCTAAGCATACACAAAAGTTCAGACATTTGGAACACACCTGCATTGTTTTCTTTAATTTCAGCTATATTAGTATGTGCAAAACAAGGCCAAAAAGTTACATCATATTTTTTTTTAGTAATTTTTTGACTTTTTGCTAAAATATAATGTAAAAAAAAACTAGTATGTTTGGAATGACTTTTTAGTTTTTTATGAAAAGATATACAAAAAGTAGAGAAAAAAGGAAATTTTTGACTTTTTGGTACAGGTTGTTGGCTTTTTGGTTTTTTTAGTGATTTTTTTGCTAAAAAGTGATGTTGCCAAACGAGGCTAGGAGTTCTATTATTCAGTACATACAAGTTAAAGGAGTCTGGAACTAACTTGTATAACTTGATTTAGGTATACACGAAAGTTCAAACATTGGGAACACACACCTGCATTGTTTTCTTTAATTTCAGCTATATTAGTATGTGCAACTGATGCTCCTCCTGCAGTGTTCATTTCCTCCATTTTATCACTAGTACCTGTGAAACATAGTCTCTCAGCATTCGAGCAAAGAAAAATTTAACCCAAAAAATGAAAAAGAAAAAAAGAAAAAAAAATAACAAACATATAACAGACATACAAAGAATGGAAAATAATCATCAATTTGAAAGTAAACATCCAATTAAGGAAGCTCACTACCGGCATGGTATCCAAGACTTGATCCAAGTACAGGCTTTATGTCTGCAATGCTTCTAGGAGATGTACCCAAACTAGATCCCTCGTCCACTTCACTCTTCACATGGAGTGCCATTTGAGATGTAATCAAATTTAATTCGTCTTTAGGCTTTTCATCAGTAGTCTCTCTGGATGTGATGTCTTGTGGTGGGGAAAGAACCATATTGCTTGGTTCAACATCCCACAAAACCAACTGTTTTTTCTCAGCAAATCTGCAATCAGTGCATTTGAGACTCAAACCAATGTGGGGAGACCAAACTAATTCAGATAAGAGGTCAGATGCCACAAATGCCAAGTCTACCCTTGGAGCTGCATTTACACCTGCACCTGAATTGCTCAATCTTGTAGGAATGCACGGATTGGAATAAGCAAGAGCAAGCCCTAAATCAGTCTCTGATTCCACGTCGTCATTCTCCACATTCATCATCAAATCTGAAATGCCATATCAACAGGTCAATCTTAGGCTATGGTGCATACTAGACAAACCATGTCCACAAAAACAAACAATCTATATGGATGCTTAACATCCGAATTGTCAGCCATTACGTCTTTTTGTGCTACTGCAATCCACATCCTTCACCTTCTCCCTTGTCTTTTTGAGTTCAGTTGTATGTCATAGGCCATCTTCTATAAGATATGCAGAGACAAGTTTGGAATGAAACTTATAAGTCATCTTAGAAACATTCAGGAAAAGCAAAGATATGCAACTATAGATATCATTTTCTTACATGTAAGACGTAAGCATATTTCCAGTGAAATCTGTTTGTTATGTAAAGAAAAGTTTTAAAAAGAAGAACAAAAACATTCATGCGCTATTTTGCACATCTTCAAAAAACATTTGGGCAAGTTATGAAATGATGTGGTGGCTTTTATAATGGAGAAAGCTATCAACAAGATATATTGTGTATTGATGAGCAAAACAAAGACAAAATATATTGCATGTTTGAAATTTTTCAAGAGTTAATTGAGGGGTTACTGAAAGAAGATGATTTGGAGAATCAACAGTTATCATTTCCATTTGACTTGATTGATTAACAGAAAGGATAAGAAAAATTAAAAAAGACACAGCCACTTGGATGAATGGGAAAGCTCTACGAGTCAAATTAAACGGAAAGCTCTATAAGTTATTAAATGACAAACTACAAAATATGCATGGTTCAAATAATACAACAGTGCACACTACTAACACTGGCTAATTCAAGTAAAGGACTACAAGGACAATTATAACTCGAAGTTGAACACATGTAGCTAAATTACTCAACTTACCTCTCACTTGAAGTAGAAAAGCCTTTATCTAATTGATGATATACAAGACAGACAGAGATTATTACCAACAGGATTCATTGCTAAAACATTGTTCAGTCAGGGAAAGGCACTGTATCAAAATCAAGTTAGCACTACCAATAGCTTGAGGCATAAAAAAGAAAAAGAACAAAAAAAGAAGAAGTGAGATTAGGTAATACAATCCCCGAAAGTAGAAAACCTACTGTAGCAACAAATTATACAAGTTTATTGTCCTTCCTGGTCTCATGAGGATGATTTCATTGCAAACTAAAATTCAATCATGGTCACCCACGTTACAAAGAACTACTTGATAATATAGCCAATATGAACCAGAAATCCCAAAGATCATTCCTTAAGAGCACTTGTATGAATCGATCAATCAAATATGCTTGTTCAATGGATGTACGGGAATTATATATATATATATATATATATTGCTTTAACCAAAAAAAAGTGGGAGGGGACGACCAGTACGTCGCAACCCTCACTAGGTGTGACCATAGATGTCCCACAAGCGTCTATTAATTAACAAAATACACAATCGATCAATCTCTCTCTCTCTCTCTCTCTCTCTCTCTCACATTATGGTTTTCCAAATTCCGATCAAGTCATGGCTGCCAGTAATTTTGTATGTGTTCAATGGGCATTACATTATTAGACCAACATTTGAATCAATATAATTGAATACACTCATACAGATTGGATACACTGATACAGATAACAGATTGCCATTTATCTGAATCCAACTAGTGAAGATTTAAAGGTAAAAGGGCACCATATTCGAGCAATCGTCCGAATAACTTATGGATCCATCTCATCAAAGTGAATAAAAATCTCAATACTAAACTGTAAGCTCTGAAGTTGGGGTTATGTGTTCTTAATATAGAAACAAGTATAGTCCAATACATTTAAAACATTCATCTTCTGTCTCTCTTTCTAAAATTATTTTCTCATCATTATTTCCACATAATATTGGATATACTTCTGCAAGAAATACTAGGATCGCTTCCAACTAAAAAAGATCAATTACAATAAAAAAACCAAATCTTCAAGCACAATTTCCGAGAAAATGAAATAAATGATCCACGTATAATTAAAGCAGAATAGACTCAACTAAGCAAAATCCAGGACTCTGAATATTATTTTCCTTCCCTTTCCCACATTTTCTCGAGAACCAACCAGAGGAAAATCACAAGAAAAGCACCAAAGTAATCCAAAAAAAGTGATACCCATTAAAGATAAGCGTGTTTAAAGGAGACCCACACACCTTTTATCCATTGAATCCATAGAATTTGCTCTCTATTTGATTAATCAGACCCTTCTCGCTTACTATTCCTTCACTACTCAAACAGTAGTTGAAAGTGGAGCAAAACCAAGTACAACCCAAATGAATGAAGAGAGAGAAGAGAGAGAGAGAGAGAGTAGCCGACTGAGTGCTATCAGCGATGCGTCCCGATACCACGGACGTGTAGAAGCTCTGAGCTTTACACAGTTGTTTTGAGATGAATGGTTGAGAAGCTGCCACGTGGCGAATTCTGAACCAGTGAGACACAATGGAGTCGTTTGGCAAGCTTAGTTAAAAGCTCACTTAATCTTTCTCTAAATATTACCGGTTGGAATGATTTGAAATCCCAAAATAACGTTGTTTTAGGTTTTTTTTTTTATTCTCTTATCGGTAAGATAATATTTTTGGTATCATTCAGGCCATTCGAGTTCTCACGCATTTTCTTAATTTTTAATTCATTTTGAATTATATTATTTTTACATATTTTATTTATTAAAAAATTAAAAAATTAATTTTTAATTAACTTTCTAAATCATCCCAATATACTAATTAGCCTATTAATAATGTGACATAATTTTAAAAATTATGTATTTTTATAATTTATATAATAAGTGAGATTAAAATTTTAAAATAATAATATCATAATATATATTAATATATTAATTAATATGTCAAAATACAAATAGAGACATTTTTTAAAATTTTTTTTTTTTACAGTCACCTCACTACTATTGTTTTTGATAAAGTCAAATTAATAATAGGACAAGAGAAGAGAAGAGAGGCCTCATTTGCCAAAAATGGATTATGGATGGTGTTTTTGAGATGAGAGAGAAGATGAAACTAACCCAAATTAGGGGTTTTAGATTCTTTGAGGGGAAACAAATAAGGTAAAAGTCTAACCCTTTACTTTATAATAATATATTTAAATATGTATAAGCTATGAAAGTACAATGAAAAGGAGGGTCTGCATCTCATTAGAGAATGATTTTATTATTATTTTTTGGAGGAGGCCTTGAATATGGATTAAAATAGTAGTAGTAGACTCTCTGTTGGTGGTGGGTTGGGTTGAAAGGAAAATTCTGACATAGTTTAAAGCATATGAAACTTGTGCAGGTGCCAATCCTATCTCTGCTAAAATTAGTATTTTAATTAACGGTAGTGATTGAGGGCCCGAAATGGGGTGGTCCGAATGGCCCGAAATTTCATTTCAGGTAAAAAAAAAAGAAAAAAAGAAAAAAGAAAACAGTTTCCAAAATTGGAAATTAGGGATATTAGGGACAACATTTTTAGGGCCACCAATCATTTTCCTTTAATTAATTTATTTTTTTAAGATTTGCAAGCCCATGAATAACATTTAGGGCTGGTATGGAAATTACAAATTAATTTTTTTATTTTTTTATTTTTTTTAGAATAAGGTCTATTTTAAGAATTGATTTTTTTAATAATTTTTTATTTTTATAAAAAAATATGTAAAAAAATAGAATAAATGAATTAACTTTTTATATTGATTTTTTAACTAAAAATTCATATTCTCAAAATAGGCATAAATTTATTGTTAACAAAGTTGATGTTTGGTCGAATGTTTAAAATTATTTTCTTTGTTACTAGCAAAATTTAGGCAAGACCCACCAATCTTTTGTGTCTGGTTTATAAATTAGGGCAAGTTTATAATAATGGGAAATTCCATATCAGTATACTTAAAAAAATATGTATAAATTAATGATAAATTTTATAAGAACTAAATTGTGAAATGATAATTTTTTTCATCAATTAGTAATTAATTTATAAAAATCCCACTGAGCACTAGTTTTCCCTATAATAAATATTCCTAACATTATTCCGAGCCAAATATATAGATAGTTATTATGACTTCAATAAGTTTATAGATAACCGATTACAGAATCAATGATGTAAAATGTAAGAGGTGATTATTCAGTACTCTCAGAATATGAATACGTAGTACTCCATAAGGTTTTGATTAGTGGAGAGACGTAAATGCCCACAATGTGAGACCCCTAACTTTTGTAAACCTTATTAGGTCCCTAAATTTTGAGTTATTATAATAAAATCCTTAATTCGTTGATTGTTCGCAAATTAAACCTTAGAACCGAAAACATATCACGGACGAACCCATACAAACCCTAATCGACCCTGGTAGCTTAGAAATCATTTCTAACACTCTAATATTAATTATTTAACTCTCAAATTTTAGATTTATCGCTCTAAATCTTAACTTCTGATTTTCACAATCTTCGTTCAGTTATTTACCTTTAAATTCAAAACAAGATAATACAAACCGAATTATTTTTCTTAACACTAATTTATTAACTTTACACTTGAAATAGATACTTTAATTGAGCCCAAATCCTCACATTTTTATTAAATCACAAATTGACTCCAAACAGGTACCATTATATATTTATACATACACTTATACCCTAAAATCTTTTTTAACATTATATTTTACAATTTTCCAGATTTGTACAATATATATATATATATAACAAGTCCATCAATTGACCATCACATGGCTAGCCATCATACCTTCTAGGCTATAATCATTGTACTTTAGTACAAACAAATCCCTTGAAATCTTGGAGCAATAATAACTTTGGTACCTATAAAGATTTGCTATATATATGTGTGTACTTGTAACTATAATCGATTAAATTAGACTTAAGCCTAACTAGATCATAATTAAATACATAATTAAGGTCCTAATTATCCACTATTCCATTTCATTTGAACTAAATACAACTCAATTACATTACATTTCAACCAAAGGACATTTTAGACAATTCATACAATTTTTCCTATAAATACACCACCATCCTCCATCTATTTGAACATCAAACACCACACCCACACACCCACACCCACATGGCATAGAGAAAGGGAGAGGAGTGGAGAGTGAGCTTGTGGGAGGGAGAAAGAAGGGAATAAAGAGAGCAAGTCTTGCAAAACTAGTTCCATAAGCATTTGAGTAAACCACAACACAACTCTCTCTTTCATTTTCTTTTTACAAATACATGTTATTAGAAATTTTAAATGGTATTGTCAGATGTGTTTTGATGGTATTCTCATGTTAAAAATGAAAGGAGTTGAGCCTTGATTCTACCCTTCTTGTATTTCTCTTAATCGGTATAAGACTACATTTTTCCAAATCAAACACTCAAAATTTCCAAAGGATACACCTTCACCTTAAATTTATGAGTTTAATACATATTATTTAGCAAGTTTTCATCACAAAGATAAGTGGAAAATTTCCCCTAGTTGACCTCTTTTCTCACCAAATTTCTATTTTCAAGAACTGTGCCAGAAAAATCTGTTTCTCATCCAACTTTCGAAATTTCTAGAAAAATATTCTGGACCTCCATTTTATGTCGAAATCTTCCTTAAGGAGTTATCTTTCAACAAAATTGATTTCATTGAAAACGAGTGAGAGATTTGTGAGAAACTCCAATTTTCGTAACGGTCGATGAATCGGGACAGCGCTGGAACATTTCTTAAATAACTAAAAATCTAGAAAAGCTATCACATTTCCGAAACATGTTCTGAAAACTAGATTAAATTCTCTACAAACCATAGGAAGGCCGAGTTCGGAAAAAAAATCAAAAATAGCCCTTTTGATTTTAATCTTTATATGCTGCTGAATCTGGAAATTTAGTTTTTGCATGGGTGTTTTACGCTCTTGTGTTCATGAATATGCTTATTAGTTGATAATCATATCTTGGTATGATATTGCATGTGTTATGGTTATGTTCCTTATCTTCTTCATTTTAGTGATGCTCATGCTTATGTGGATATTACTATCTTGTTGAGCTTGTTCTAACTTGACTTAAAATATTAATCCAAACGGAAAACTTAACGAGGCGGCTAATGGGTTTTTGATCACTTGAATATTGAAGAGATGATAATGTGTTATGTATAGATTGATAGGATGTGCTCCTTAATTGAAGGATAAGTCTTGCGCAAGCGGTTGTCGCGTAAACCCTAGAATGGAACGGACGTATTCGGACTCTTTGCGATGGTTTGATTGGTGGGATAAGGTTGGGCTCAGATGAGACATTCAGGAGGATAAACTTTTTTTAAAAGGATAAGGTTGGATTCAGGAGATAAAACCTTTTTTCTTTTCGCTGTCCCTTTTGAGGCCCTGCGGTTGGCGCTACGCGATATATAACCGTTGGTAGGCATCCGAGGTTAGTTCTGCAACAAAGCAGTAAAAAAGGGAGTTCCGAATAGTCTGGTGTCCAATTCTTGTGGTTACGAGAATGAAATCTCTTTAGAGAATTTCTAGAATACTAACTATTAACATTATAACCTTGTTATCTATCTGAATGATATGTTCTTTTTCTTTATTATTGAAATTGCTGTTATTGACTTGAATATCATGTTTCACTACTTGTTTACTATAAATGTGATGGTATATTGGATTAGGAAAAAAGGAAGGGGTATGTGTGCGTTTACTGGGCATTCAAAACTCATGGTGTTTCATAGCAGGTATTGAAGACTATTAGGCCGGTCGAAGGCAAAGCTGAAGCATTTGAGGACGTACGGCTACCCTAAGAGGATTAGAAACTAGTTTGTAAACGTGTTTTGAAATTGTAAGTGATAGATCTCATGTTGTATTTAAGACATGATTTGTAATTTGTATATATATAACATTTGTAACATATCCTTATACTCCGTCAACTCACGTAGGCTTTGTGTTAATACCCTGTCAAGATCTATCAAAAAGTTAGTTTTGCTATCTAAGATGGTTGGACTTAGAAGGGAGACTGTTTTGACTCCTCCGACTTCCTAGGATCTTGCTTGGTTATTAGCCAAAAGATTCATTAGTGACGTTTCCTACTCTTGTAACCTTAGATAAACCCTGTATTTAATAATTAGTATATTATCTGATGTTTCTGATTTTTTGGGGCATCACACACAATTTGTGATGGGGATAGGAAACAATACATGACTAATTAATTAGTAATTGACTTGAAGTATAGTCACGTAATATTCCGGAAGTATTAAATAATTTTTCAAATTTAAGTGGAATAATATGAGTCAAATTTTATATTTATTATGAGTCCTACCATGCGAAATGTATGGCCAAAATTATTTTATAAAGAAATTATCTACTGTGTGCCTATTTTATGAAAATTGGACACATAGACATCTTGTCTAAAAACATA